CGGTATTGAGGTGGGAGGATCACCTTGAGCCTTGTGAGTCTTCAGTGAGCGAGATGGTCCACTCTGCACTTCCAGCCGGGTGCCAGGCGAGACCCTACCTAAAGAAATAAAATAAGGCGGGCGCTGTGGCTCAAGCCTGTAATCCAGCACTTTGGAGGCCGGCCGGCGCGTATCTATCAGGCACGGAGATCGATGACCATCCTGTCCTCCTACAAAAAATACAAATAAAACTAGCCGGGCAGGTGCGGCCTGTAGTCCCAGGCTACTCGGGAGGCTGAGGCCAAAAAATGGCCATAAAACCAGGAAGCAGAGCTTGCCAGTGAGCTGAAGATCTGGCCCTGCAACTCCAGCCGCTGGCGACCGTCGACTCCATCTCAACAAAAAAAAAAAAAGACTAAAAATAGAAGGCTGGGTGCGGTGGCTCAAGCCTGCGTAATCCCAAGCACTTTGGGAGGCTGAGGCGGCGGATCCATGAGGTCGGAGATCAAGTACAGTCCTGTGCTAACACGGTGAAATCCCATCTCTACTAAAAAAAGATGCAAAAAACTTAGCGGGTGAGGTGCAGGGCGCCTGTAGTTCCGCTACTCGGGAGGCTGAGGCCGGAGAAAGTGTAACCTCAGGAGTGCAGAGCTTGCAAGTGAGCTGGGAGTCCGGTCCTGCACTTCCCAGCCTGGGCGCCGAGCGGAGACTCCTCCTCGCAAAAACAATAAAAAAAGACAGAAAATAAAGCAGCATGTCCACCGAGTAGGACAGCCTGGCGGAATTCACTCTCCCGCAGTACAACTTCGGATGCCAGGCCTGTCTCCATCATCCAGCGTAAAGTCCCCGACAGCCTTGGTGGCCTGCCATTTCCCTCTTTTGGGGCGTTCTTCTAACACCTGGACGGCTGCAAAACCGCTTGGGGGGTGGGAGGTGACAGAGAGCAGAGCGAAGGATGCCTGCCGCTCCCAGGTGAGGACGTCATGTGCAGGCTGCAGGGAGGCCAGGAGACAGAGCTGGGTGGATGGGGAGATGGGTAGCAGCCAGCACTGAGTATTGATAACAGGGAGGAAAGAAAAGTCTGCTTGGGGGCCAGACGCGGCGGCTCACGCCTGTAATCCCAGCACTTTGGGAGGCCAAGGCAGGCGGATCCCCTGAGCTCAAGAGTTCAAGACCAGCCTGGGCAACATGGCAAAACCCCGTCTCTACTGAAAATACAAAAATTAGCCTGGCACAGTGGTGCGCGCCTATAATCCCAGATACTCGGGAGGCTGACGCAGGAGAATCGCTTGAGCCAAGGAGGTGGAGGTTGCAGTGAGC